TGGGAAGAAAGTAAAAAATAGGAATAACGAGATGTTTCTGAAATAAAAAATCTAAATTCTTTTGTGAGATAACATCATTGTTCTTGGCCTCTTCTAAAAAAAATTCAAGCTTTTGCTTAAATTGTAAAGTAGGGTCATTATTAAGGATGATATACGTTTCTCTATCTCCCAGAATATTGGAGGCTTCCTCCAAATAGTAAGCAGTGGTCATGAGGACAATCCCCCCCCCCTGTATCCGCCTCTTTGATGACGATGTCATCTCTTTTCATTAATTTCTTTAAAACACTATTCTCCCTTTGTGTAAGGTTATAATCACGTGTTTTATGTTTTGTCATAAGAGTCATAAGAGTGTGAAAATCCCGTTCAACCATACATTCAAATGTCTCTAGAAAGGGTCCCTTGCTTTGAACAGGAAAAAAATGTGACTTGGGTTTAAACCTATGATGATTATGTTTCTGTCATTTATACCAACATCAGAGCTTGAATAAGAAGGATTTAATAAGAAATGTCTTTTGACCGTCATAGAACGTATGTATTTTTTGAGGTCGATATATATATTAAAGTCATTAGCAGTCTGATTAGGGGCGAATTTCATTCCTTTGGAGAGTAAGTTGATCTCCTCCTCAGACAATGGAATATCTGTCAAGTTAAAAATACCTTTCTCTCTTTCTTTTTGTCTAAGGTTACAGGGTTTATAGGAGATCCCACCTAGTCCTCTGTTCTCACCCTTTTTGAAGGGGTATCTTGTTGTAGAGCAGAGAACCTGTTTGGGTGTTCCCAAAGATCCGCCCTGGGCTGAAAATAATTTGTAATAGTTTCAGGCATCCTGAAAATTTTGTTCCCTTTCATTAGATTGTGAATGATTACCCCAATTGTTTGCATAATTCCTAATGTTCTGGGTGCGAAATTTCACAACCCCATTTCTTTCTGGAGATAACCTCCCAGAAAGTTGTTGTGAAGATTTCTCCTTAGGAGATGCTCTAAATCTTCGATTAGTTGTGCCCTGATGAGGGGGGTGAGGGTCTCTTGAACCAGTACTGTAACCGCTGGTGGTTCCCTTATTTACCACTATAATGTCTTAAAGCATAGAACTTAGTAGGGCTAACCATACAGATATCTTAGCCATAATTTTATATAGTGTAAGAGATCCTCTATTTAACATATATAAATAATTGAGAATACAATGTAAAATAAGGATTGTCTTGGAAGCAAGATTATCTTTTGGATATTTATTATATAAAAATATAAAATCCATTATAGCAGAGTTTATAAGATTAAATGCTTGCAAATATCATTAATAGGTTAACATACCCTTCTGAACATGTCATCATGTCAGCCTCTCTGTCATTTTAAGATGGAGCAGCGTCTGTCTCCAAGTCTCTCCTCTGTATCTTAACATTTAAAAGTACACCTATTTATACCTTAGGTGTCTCCATTTTAGGTTACAGTAGTTCAAATATGAAAAAGTAACACTTCTTTTACTTTATTCAATTTAGGACCTCCCTTAACTTGGCAAACATACAAGGCCATAACTAAAGGGTGCATACGTCATGGAAATTTTCCTTACTTAGTTCAAGATGGCATCTTAAAGTCTGAATAGGTTATCTGTTGTTTATACTAAGTCGTAAGTGTACAGTCGCGGGAGATTCCCGGATTTGGGGAAGTTCCATTAACTTGGGGTTACCACAGTATATTGTGTACTGCAAGTGTCGTAGAATAGCCTTGAAGCTTGTTTATACATTATTGTTATTGTAATTCGTCTGGGACAAAATGGCGCAAACATATTATGCACTGATGTTATTGCTTAAAGAAACAGTTATGAAAAACAATATGTTCCATTTCTAACACCTTGTCAGTTTGCAATATCTCTTAAAAACAAAGTACACAGTTTAAGAAATACAACATTTCATTCTAAAACTTGTAATATTTGCATTTGCCCGTAACACCCTCTCCATTAAACTGTGGGCATTGTAGCGCATTTCTTCCTTAAATTAGTAAACCAAAGTTCTCCAACTGTCTTTAGGTTTTTTATGCTCCCAGCATCTTAGATCATTGTTGTAACAGTAAAACATCCGTAGTGTGATCTTTGCATGTAAAGGTGGTTGATTAAAATGAGCAAAGCTTTTGTCTGGGAAAGAATTGAAAAGAACACCAAGTTCAAGAGTAATATATTCTTGGATAGATCCAGATATGAATTGTAATCCAAAGTTAAAAGTAGTAATTGTATTTGTAATCCAAAGTCTTTAAAGGCCTGTAGAAGTTTACATTTTTTAGATACATTGCTGGAGGTTGTGTTTGTAGAATACCCGGGTATTTGTTGTAGAGTATAGGTTGTAGAGTCCAGCTTTCCAAGTATTTGGCTAGAATTGGTCGCAGATATTGAATCCGCATAATCTGTTATCACCGTGGTGATGGCGTTGGTATTTGACTTTGTCTTTTGTCTTTGCTTTTTATTTTGTTTGTTTTTTCCATGAAACATTTTTACACTGTTTATGATGTGTATAGATTGGATACTCTCCGATATTCTTTTACGGAATAAATTAATTGACATAATTTCCAAGACATTGTCTTAAGTGACATGGATCCCATTATAGTAAATGTTATGTTGATACAGCAATCGAAGTGGATGCTCAGGAACGCCACTTTTTGCTGTATTGGAATCTTTGTAACATCTCAGTGATAGACATCTCACTGACATCAGGTGCTGTTGTGCTAAAAATGTTACAGGTAAAATCTGTGGAAAAATCTTTACATTTGTTATACTTTGTATAATAATGATAGATGAAATAGTAACATAGTTAATCTTTCTAGTGTTTTGTATTAGAGATAAACACCCCTGTATATGATTTAGATATATAAGGATAATTTGAAGCAGCAAAGTATTTACCGCCTTTGTTCACAATGGTATGTAAAATTACATTCTCTTTAAATGTAAAAAATACTCCTTTATTCAAAATCTCTCAATATATTTAGAATAGTTGCTAATTGGAAATATGACGTTAATTATCTTTCTTTGACCTGTTAGGGAGAAGACTACTTATTCCCTAGTTATTATTAGTAAATATAATAACTACAGTTATTAGTGGCTTATACCAGAAACCCCTAAATATTGTCTTAGAAAACATTTTTTTTTTTTTAAAACCAAGATCGGACAGCCATTGTGGAAAGTTACATTTGTGAGATTGGATGCTTAACAATGTGAATCTTAATTGTTTAAGTATATTTTTCAGTGGCTGTTGGATGTAGCTTAAGATAATTAGAATGTATTATTATTTCTAAAAGTGAGTTAAGAAAGCACTCCGATACAATATTGAATGTATTTATATTTTAACTCTACCTTTGTATAAGTGGTTTTATGTACCTTTAACCATCACAAACCAAATAAAATTTTCTTGGTATTTGAAAAACTGATAAAATATTTGATTACGTGTCTTTTAATGTATATACATAGAGTGGTATGGATGTTGAATTTATATCTTTGACATCTTTTCACAAGTTTGCAATAGGTGACCTAACTTATCAATTTCCAAAATAATCATGTATATCACCTGGATGGGTTAATCCATAATACTCTTTTACTTTCCCTTGACTGGACTTAGCTCTGGCAGACTGAATATTTTTATCATTATAATTAAACTTTATGATAATTGAAGTAAAGTTTCTGCCTGTCTTTCAGTTCAATTTTAGCTGTTGAAGTATTTCACTTATATTAAGTGATTATACCACTCTGCAAACTTAAACGAATATAGAATAGTTTCTGATTTAATAAAAACAATTTTTACATTGTCTTCTAAAGTTTAAACATTAATTATTATTGCAGTTGTTATTGCAATCATATGATCTTTAACTATCATGATTCAATTATTTATAAGGGTAATTAGCTGTTATGCTCTTATACTTTATGTCTAATATATTTGTTTGTAGGCCAGACTGCAGCTGCATATGGCATTTTAGCAATAATCTTCAATTGCGTTTCAGATATTCACAAAGTCTATCCACCTTTGTAATTAACACATTATGTGTTTATTTTATACCATTAATTATAGTATCTGTATTATATTACACATTGTCACTGACACATTTCTGATACAGGGAAAAAATAGCATGATTGCTTTAGTCATTATAATTTTCGGTCCATGCACCACATTCTTGGAAGTCCAGAATATAGCAAGAATCCATTGTCGTTTGATTCTATGGAGCCATTTAACGTTTTGATTGGTATAGTTATACCAAAAGAGCAAGGAGTACGACGGTAGATCACATCTGCAACAGAACTATTACAGATTCCTTGTTGTATCAATGTCTCTGTGTTTATGTTTACAGGAGTTCCTTGCTTTGCAGGTATGTACATAATATGTACAGTTTAAGAAAAGCTGCAAATCGTGCTTTAGTACAAGTGTCCCATGATGTCAAGTTTCTGATAGATTTTGTTGGTCTTTTTATATTGCATTCTCTTGGCAGGGCATCTGCTCTTAGTAAGCCGGTATTGTTATTATTTATTATTTGCATCAAGGTTTCTTTCGTTAATTGATGTGTTTCTACCAAATTCAAATTCATATGCCACCAAATGTCATTGTAAAGTTCATTGTTACAGAATATTGTTCCAGGATGGTTTTTCACTCCAATAGGAAATCTATATTCCTCTTCTTCTGCTCCTTCCTATAAACCACTTTTTCTGAGTTGTAGGCAACAATTTGTGTTGTACTGTGAGGTGCTTTGATAGTCTATCAGGTTTTCTCAGTACCATGTTCCATCTTGAAAAACAGCTGGGTGTTGACAGTTATCAGCCTTTATTTCTTTTTCCGGTCATCTTCTGTCTGGATACATAATTGCAATGTCCAGAATTAGCATAGCACTTCTTTTCAGCATAAGAAGGCTGTTTGCGGTAGTCACTCAATGATAAACTATATGGCAAAGTCTTTTCTTAATCACCTTCATAGGTGCATCCAAAGTCTTTCACAAGCATCTGTCTCGTCTTTTTCTGTTTTCAGCATGCTTTGTCATCATTGTTGAGTCCATTATTAGGATTTGTATTAGTCCAATCACATCTTTCTCATGTATAATCGGTTTTTGGAATGATCTCAATAGGTTCCTTGTGAAATACCAGTGTAGGTCACATTAGCCATCATTTCACTGTGAGCTATGTCTCTCCTTTTGAGCTAGTTCTTGGAGGTAGTCCTCACGATCACAGAACTTGTATAGTGTACAGTCCAATTCAGTCCAGGTGCTTCCTGCTTGTTAACATAATCCCAATGCAGTTTTAAAATGACAGCTAGGGTTGATGTTATGATAATGCTGCAGATTGTAAGAAGGAGACACCATAACCAATTTTCTAGCATCCTTTTGCTTCTATCTTTGCATTTCTTTCTTACTGTATAAGATAATTCAGGTTCAGTCTGTTTTCTCCAGAGTCTTTCTTATAATGATGTTGATGATTCATTTTTCGTACATTCCATATTAACTGTGAATGTATCACGTCTGTCTGTTCATCCTTCTCCTTTATATTTGCAGGTTCAGATGTCAGATCATGAGTCAGTCTGTTACGTGGCTATGATTCTGGTGGCTTTTCTGTCGTCCTCTGTTTGTTTTATCTTGTCATCTTTAACAGCATCCATTGTATCAGTCAGTGGTTCTGTGAACGTCCTGGAAGTATTTAGCAGGTTGTAAAATATCAAAACTTACTGTTCTCTGTTGGCTCTGATTGTTCTCTGTAGTAAAAGTTATCTGAGTCACCCTCTCCAGGACAAGCTGGCCAACAGAAGGAAATAGGTGGTGGTGCAAGGCGAGGTGGGCTGGAAAAAAAAAATTCCCTAAATTTCTCTAATAGAACCAATGGTTCTAAGCTCTCCCTGGTGTAGAAATATATTTGTCAGTGAAAAACATGTAACATTTCATATGGTGTCTCACCATTTATATCATCAGGTATGTTGTGAATGCTCATCTGTACCATAGGAATAAATAGATACCACTGTGTGGGGCAAGCAACTAGTAACTTGGTTAATAATCATTTAACCTCAGCATTTTCCCAGACCACAACCCCACTTCTTTGGGGGTGGTTGGGGCACTGAAATCCCAAAGTAACCCAAATGTGGTTGCCCAGTTTTAGGTTTCCTTTGCAGTAACTGCAGGACCACCATCCAAATGGATGGTCCTGGGATTATCAAATGCATACTAAGGAAGTGAGACTAGAAAACGTGGCATCAGAGGTTGCACTTCGCACAGGATATATCCAAGTAAACCTGGTACATGCATCAACACATACAAAAACATATTTATAACCATGAGATGTTGGCACACTTCCAATATATAGTAATTCAAAAAGTATGTTAGATATTAATATTTCAATAAATAGTACATCAGTAATGTGGCAATAAGCAAATGCTTATGATTACTAAACACATGAATTACAGTATTTCCCATATTGTGACCATCAGTATTCCTTTTCAGGAGTCAGAAGTACATTACCTCTCTCTATGAGAGCTTGTCCTAGCCATGAAAAAGCTTTTAGGGCAAGTCCATCTTTCCTCTATAGGAAGAACAACCAACATATTACCTTCAATGGTTATGTAATTAACCCCTGTAAACGATAGGAGTATTTATGCGGATACCAGGTGGATAAGGTCTGGATATCCTTGCAAGCATAAACTCTGCATCATGACAGAGAGATAGGGTATGCGATGTGATCCAGTGACCACAGAAAAGCGTTGGTAGACACATTGCATCAAAGTGCCTGTTAATGACCAACTACATGAGGAGAGGGACCATGCTTTGTTATAAGCATGTCCATACACATATTACAATGCCAGGCTTTCAATTTGTTACCACAAAGCAAAATGCAATTGTGGATATAAACTCACGACATATCGTAAGAAAAACTGTTTGAACACCAGACTGAGATTCGAGATCAGTGAACAGTGGACCAAAATAGATAAATGAAATCCTATCAATTAATATACTTTCTTTATATTACTTTATCCTCTGTATTAACTATGAAATATTAAAGTTAAAAACAATAACATTTAAAAGCCAACTTTTAGTGTGTATAGGAATTACAAGGCCGTTCATAATGTGAGATAAAGAACAGCTTTTTAAAACCGAATAGTCTGTGAACACAAGATGACCTTGCGCTGAAAACTCACTTGCAGGGGAAAAATAAACATTTTTTCTTTTTCTTTAGTAAATTAATTAAAATATGAGGAAAAAATATGAGCTAGTTAGCATATATTATATAAAATACATGCTGCATTGTACTGCACTGAATTTATTTAAAAGCCATGTCTTTCTCTTTATGGCTGTATGTAATAATGTTGTTCATAATTTGGAATATAAAAAAAACGACTTCTCAATTCCTTGGAATGTTTACATGTCTCTGTATCTCCGCAACCTTGGCTGGAAATTCCAGACTGAAAAAATAGTTATGCTGTTATAATTCCTGATTTTTAATCAACAGCTAGCGTAACTGACAATATGGAAAATATCACCGTTTTATAAAACTTTTCATATATAGTGGACATTAGAATCCAGAACGCAGTAATGCAATAATTAAAAATCCTGTCTGTCTGCTGCATGAATGTTTTCATTAAGTCATAATGCAATTTTCTTTGCATTCTTGGAATAAGACTTCAAATTTCATCGCTCTGTCTTATCACTTTTCTTTTGACAACATTTTGCATTAATCTTTTTACTGCGCATGCATACTAAGCAGCTACAAAGAGAACATATCCCCCTGTCTGCAATCCACTGTCCTGCAACTAACGGGCCATGCTATGCTGGTGTATTAGGCATTTGTTCTATTATGATATTAGTTAAGATCCACAATTTCAGCATTGTATGCTAATTACATTGTACCTGGCACCTGAACTCACAGTGCCTTGTTCACATTAAAATCATCTCTAATGATGAAGATCTCTCTCTGAGTCTGGGCTACAATAGCTCAATAGATTCTTGATATTTCAAGACTTGTGCCATGACAAAGTATTGTGTCTTCTCTTACGTATAAGAGGTTACCTAGGTATTTATTTTATATTTAAAGCTTCCAAGTACAAAGTCCCTTCGTGGTCGCCAATTGTAACCGTGTGTGGTTCCCTTATTTACCACTATAATGTCTTAAAGCATAGAACTTAGTAGGGCTAACCATACAGATATCTTAGCCATAATTTTATATAGTGTAAGAGATCCTCTATTTAACATATATAAATAATTGAGAATACAATATAAAATAAGGATTGTCTTGGAAGCAAGATTGTCTTTTGGATATTTATTATATAAAAATATAAATATAAAATCCATTATAGCAGAGTTTATAAGATTAAATTACATGCTTGCAAATATCATTAATAGGTTAACATACCCTTCTGAACATGTCATCATGTCAGCCTCTCTGTCATTTTAAGATGGAGCAGCGTCTGTCTCCAAGTCTCTCCTCTGTGTCTTAACATTTAAAAGTACACCTATTTATACCTTAGGTGTCTCCATTTTAGGTTACAGTAGTTCAAATATGAAAAAGTAACACTTCTTTTACTTTATTCAATTTAGGACCTCCCTTAACTTGGCAAACATACAAGGCCATAACTAAAGGGTGTATACGTCATGGAAATTTTCCTGACTTAGTTCAAGATGGCATCTTAAAGTCTGAATAGGTTATCTGTTGTTTATACTAAGTCGTAAGTGTACAGTCGTGGGAGATTCCCGGATTTGGGGAAGTTCCATTAACTTGGGGTTACCACAGTATATTGTGTACTGCAAGTGTCGTAGTATAGCCTTGAAGCTTGTTTATGCATTATTGTTATTGTAATTCGTCTGGGACAAAATGGCGCAAACATATTATGCACTGAGGTTATTGCTTAAAGAAACAGTTATAAAAACAATATGTTCCATTTCTAACACCTTGTCAGTTTGCAATATCTCTTAAAGACAAAGTACACAGTTTAAGAAATACAACATTTCATTCTAAAACTTGTAATATTTGCATTTGCCCGTAACAGTACATTCTCCTATTGGTGTCCTAGACCTTCCCCTATTATAGGGGACTCTAGATCTAATACCTCTGTTTGAAGTGGAACGTATTTTTTTCCGAGATAGTCTGTTTAAAGTGGAAAAAATATTCAATTTTTTATCTCCCTTATCTCTGTTTAATAATTAATTGAATGAGCTGGAATGAGCAATTTGTAAGAATCTCATCCCACTCTTGTAGAAATGAAGGGTCATCTAACCCAAAGGCTGGTGTCTTATCTATTCTAAGGCCACGGGGTATTAAACCTTCTTTTAGATAGTTATCCAAAAAAGCAACCTCCCACCACTTTTTTGTTTCCATACTCAATAGTTTTTCTTTTTTTCTGAAATACTCATCTAGCCCTTTAAAGGGCTGTGGTTTTTCCCACTCATGAAATAATGCTTCAAACTTTTTTTTACGATTTTGATGTAGGTTTGACAAAAAGTTAACAAGATGGATATTATTAGACCACTAAGGTATACTGGTCGTAATATTTTATATTACAAATGAAGTGCATGACCTATTCATTGTAGCATATGAAACACGTGAACTTATAGAATCATGGAATATATTTGTATAAATGAATTAATTTCACATACAATATCACATATACATTTAATTTAAAAAAAACAAAAACAAAAAAAAAGTCTAATTAGGAAATATTATTCACATTAAGGTTTAAATTTGAATAAATATGTAAATGGATTAACATCAAACATGTACAGTACCCTATTTAATCCCTTAAGGACAGAGCCAAATGTACACGTTGTGAACAAAACAAAATGTAAACAAAACCTGGCATTTGCGCTACATGTCTGTCCAACCGTAATTCACCTCTTTCATAGTAAATGCACCCACCCTTATTATATATCATTTTATTCAGGGGAAACAGGGCTTTCATTTAATATCAAATATTTAGCTATGAAACATAATTTAATATGAAAAAATGGGAGAAAATAAGATTTTTTAAAAATTTTTTTAGTTCTACATGACATTTTAACGGTCAATGTCATAATACTGTTTGCTTTTACTGCAATAAAATACACATATTTGTATTCAGCAAAGTCTCACGTGTAAAACAGTACCCCCTATGTACAGGTTTTATGGCGTTTTGGGAAGTTACAGGGTCAAATATAGCACGTTACATTTGAAATTGAAATTCGCCAGATTGGTTACGTTGCCTTTGAGACTGTATAGTAGCCCAGGAATGAAATTTACACCCATAATGGCATACCATTTGCAATAGTAGACAACCCAAGGTATTGCAAATGGGGTATGTACAGTCTTTTTTAGTAGCCATTTGGTCACAAACACTGGCCAAAGTTAGCGTTAGTATTTGTTTGTGTGTGAAAAATGCAAAAAACGCCAATTTTGGCCAGTGTTTGTGACTAAGTGGCTACTAAAAAAGACTGGACATACCCTGTTTGCAATACCTTGGGTTGTCTACTATTGCAAATGGTATGCCATCATAGGGGTAATTTTCATTCTTGGGCTACCATAGGGTCTCAAAGGCAACGTAACCAATCTGGCGAATTTTAATGTGAAAAAAATGAAACACAAGCCTTATATTTGACGCTGTAACTTTTGAAAACACCATAAAACCTGTACATGAGGGGTACTGTTGTACTCGGGAGACTTCGCTGAACACAAATATTTGTGTTTCAAAACAGTAAAAAGTATCACAGCAATAATATTGTCCGTGTAATGCTGTTTGTGCGTGAAAAATGCAAAAAACTCACTTTTACTGGCGATATCATCGTTGTAATACATTTTACTGTTTTGAAACACTAATATTTGTGTTCAGCGAAGTCTCCCGAGTAGAACAGTACCCCCCATGTACAGGTTTTATGGTGTCTTGGAAAGTTATAGGGTTAAATATAGTGCTAGCAAATTAAATTCCCTTTACTTTCGGCATGGGTTGTCAGGCAGGTCCGCTAATTGTAATTAATTAAGATACCTAATTATGTAAAAATATTACATAAATATATATGTAGAATTAATATATGTATATATATACGTATGTGTATATATATGTATATATCTATATAATTTTTTAAAATATTTTTATTTATATATAAGTATATATATAGTGATATATACGTATATATTTATGTATATAGATATATATATTATTTGTTCTACGTGTATTTTGATATATATATATATATATATATTAATTTCACAATACAGTTAGAACGAAATAACACACATCTATATATTTTTTAATTATTTATTTTTAATTATTTTTTAATTTTATTTTTTAACGTATTTACATTTTTATTTTTTTATATTATATATAAATATATATATAACAATAATTATATATATATATATATAATCAGTATCAGTCTACGTGTAATTTGATATTAATATATATATATATAATTATATATATATTATTAGTAAAATACATCTAGACGGTGTACGTGTGTGTATGTGTATGTGTATATATATACTTAGATCATATATATGATATTTATATGATCTAAGTATATATTATTATTTTTTTTACACTATTTATTTTACTTTTATTTTCAGCCAGCAGGGGGACCACCTGTCATTACAGGCAGCCCCCCTGCTGGCAATGCTGCAGCCAGCTACCCCTGGCTGGGGGGCTTCGAGGAGGACGGACGTGCCGCGGGGGTCTCCCTGGGAGTCCCCCCCCACCGCGATCGTCGGCGTGGGATCGCCGGCGACCGGGTAAGTACCGAAAGACCGGAGGGCGTACTATTACGCCCGGCGGCGTTTAGAGCCGCTTAGAATAGGGCGTAATAGTACGCCCTCCGGTCTGAAGGGGTTAATTTGGCATTGATAATAATAATAATATCACTGATTATTATAAATTTTTTTGGAGTACACATTTAATATTATTATTTGAGTTGCAAGATAACCCATTTATTGGGTTTATCTACAGGGAGTGCAGAATTATTAGGCAAGTTGTATTTTTGAGGATTAATTTTATTATTGAACAACAACCATGTTCTCAATGAACCCAGAAAACTCATTAATATCAAAGCTGAATATTTTTGGAAGTAGTTTTTAGTTTGTTTTTAGTTATAGCTATGTTAGGGGGATATCTGTGTGTGCAGGTGACTATTACTGTGCATAATTATTAGGCAACTTAACAAAAAACAAATATATACCCATTTCAATTATTTATTATTACCAGTGAAACCAATATAACATCTCAACATTCACAAATATACATTTCTGACATTCAAAAACAAAACAAAAACAAATCAGTGACCAATATAGCCACCTTTCTTTGCAAGGACACTCAAAAGCCTGCCATCCATGGATTCTGTCAGTGTTTTGATCTGTTCACCATCAACATTGCGTGCAGCAGCAACCACAGCCTCCCAGACACTGTTCAGAGAGGTGTACTGTTTTCCCTCCTTGTAAATCTCACATTTGATGATGGACCACAGGTTCTCAATGGGGTTCAGATCAGGTGAACAAGGAGGCCATGTCATTAGATTTTCTTCTTTTATACCCTTTCTTGCCAGCCACGCTGTGGAGTACTTGGACGCGTGTGATGGAGCATTGTCCTGCATGAAAATCATGTTTTTCTTGAAGGATGCAGACTTCTTCCTGTACCACTGCTTGAAGAAGGTGTCTTCCAGGAACTGGCAGTAGGACTGGGAGTTGAGCTTGACTCCATCCTCAACCCGAAAAGGCCCCACAAGCTCATCTTTGATGATACCAGCCCAAACCAGTACTCCACCTCCACCTTGCTGGCGTCTGAGTCGGACTGGAGCTCTCTGCCCTTTACCAATCCAGCCACGGGCCCATCCATCTGGCCCATCAAGACTCACTCTCATTTCATCAGTCCATAAAACCTTAGAAAAATCAGTCTTGAGATATTTCTTGGCCCAGTCTTGACGTTTCAGCTTGTGTGTCTTGTTCAGTGGTGGTCGTCTTTCAGCCTTTCTTACCTTGGCCATGTCTCTGAGTATTGCACACCTTGTGCTTTTGGGCACTCCAGTGATGTTGCAGCTCTGAAATATGGCCAAACTGGTGGCAAGTGGCATCGTGGCAGCTGCACGCTTGACTTTTCTCAGTTCATGGGCAGTTATTTTGCGCCTTGGTTTTTCCACACGCTTCTTGCGACCCTGTTGACTATTTTGAATGAAACGCTTGATTGTTCGATGATCACGCTTCAGAAGCTTTGCAATTTTAAGAGTGCTGCATCCCTCTGCAAGATATCTCACTATTTTTGACTTTTCTGAGCCTGTCAAGTCCTTCTTTTGACCCATTTTGCCAAAGGAAAGAAAGTTGCCTAATAATTATGCACACCTGATATAGGGTGTTGATGTCATTAGACCACACCCCTTCTCATTACAGAGATGCACATCACCTAATATGCTTAATTGGTAGTAGGCTTTCGAGCCTATACAGCTTGGAGTAAGACAACATGCATAAAGAGGATGATGTGGTCAAAATACTCATTTGCCTAATAATTCTGCACTCCCTGTAGTCAAATATCAAACGTCACTTTAAAGAGTTTGTTATACTGGTATTATTTATGGAATACATTTATTTATTTTTTACTGCAACAGCAAGGAGGCAAATGAGAATTCCATGTATTTAAATATAGTTATATGGTGATAGGGAAGTAATAATAAGGTTCATGTGTTTCATAGGCTTTATTATTTATATTTAATTAGAGGATCGTTTACCATAATATGTTCCTGTTAAGACTTCTGATCAGTACCAGTATTATTTTATACTGGGCGACCTCTAGGTGGCACTATGGATAACTGTTTCTCATTTTTGAGCTGGAACGCACAGGTTAGTGGAACGCGGAAGTGCGAACGGACTTTTACTTCCGGTTTCCGGGTCCACAGTTTTGCACCAAAAACGACCGATGGAACACCTACTCCACACCTGAACAGGATCGCTGGATACCCCACAACTGGAAGTGATCATGGAATTATGGGTAACTCCCACTGGATCCACCTATGAACTAAGGGTTCAACCCTATTTATAGAGACTCATTGGGGGGGAGAATATTGTATGCATTTTTGTACTTGATTGTTTTTAATTATTGTATTATTTGCTTTTGGTCCCTGAGGAAGTTCCTTTGTACAGGAACGAAACGCGTAGGACCTCATCTTATTTTATTTTATTTAATGTGGCTAATGTGTATGGCCTTTTTTCTACAATAAATCCGCATATTTATTTTACCTTACCTATATTGGAGTCTCATTCCATAATTTGGTCCGCTTGGAGTTCCAGTGGAGAGTGGAGACGTTTAGCCGCCCAAGTTTACCGGGGCAGGCACCTTTTTGGCGCATTATTCATTTTAATCTTGTGAGTGCATTATTATATCAGCGCACTATAACCTGTTTCTAACTGTATTACACTACGTATTTTTTCTGTTTTTGTGTCTATGTATATGTTGTAAAAGGTCAGGAACTGGGCCACGACCTTGAGAGGCTGTTGTAACTTTATCAGATAAGTATATTTGGATACCATTATACAATTTGAGGTATCATTTCTATACATATTGTTTTTTTCTTTGTGCATTTAGTAATCAGAGATAGTTTGGGGAGAAATTTAGGGAGCAGAGATGAACTGGTGAGACTGGAAAGACATTTAGGGAAAGAATAGAAACTGGTAAGATATTTAGGGAAAGGGAAAGTATAGAGAGATCATTGAGATATTTAGGAACAGAGACAGACTAGGAGAACATTTACAAGAGACACAGTGAGCAGACATTTAGGAAAAGAAAGAGACTACCCAATATACACACAAATTCAGCACACACATCAAATTCAGCACACCCACTGTCGATCCAAACACACACATTGCCAATACATACATTGATACAAACGTACTGCTTAATACATAAATCCATACACCCTATGGAGGACTAGGCCTCCCCAACCTCACACATTATCTACACGCCGCCCACCTCACACAAATCCAACACTGGCACCTTCCCACCCGCTCACAAGAGGTGGGTAGACCTAGAGCACCTCATCTTTGGTCGGGACCACCCCTCTCAATACATGTGGATCCCAAAACAGCATAGGCCACTGCCACCTCCCACCTCCCCAACGATCACCCATTCCTTGGACCTCTGGGATCGCCTAAGCACCAAATTCGACTTATCTACTGGCCTATCACCCCTCACCCCAATCCTCCACAATAAAATGTTTCCACCTGGTCTTACACCAAAGCACTACGCCCACTTTGAAGACAGAGAAATAGTTAGACTAGGACACCTTTACCCCAATGGTAAGCTCCTACAATACGCAGATGTTCCCAACTCGGAATCATTAACTACCTATGACTACTTTCGATACCTCCAACTCCGTAGCTTTGCAGCAACAGACACGGTTCGCATGGCAGCCACCTCGACCCTGACAGGGTTCGAGAGGGACACTCTCCACTCCCCGGCCAGAAAGAGCCAAATATCAAACCTCTACACAGCCCTAACCACACATCACACCCAAATAGCACTACCATACATCGCAGCATGGGAGAGAGACTTGGGGCCCCCTGAGGACCCCACCGACTGGGCAGACATCTGGACTTCCACCAAATCCATCTCAACCTGCGTAACCCATAAGGAACAAGCCTACAAAATGCTCTTTTGGTGGTATCTCACCCCTCTCCGCCTAAAGGCAATGCAACAACTTCCCAACAACCTATGTTGGAAACTGTGCGGTGATACTGGCATGTTTCTCCACTGCTGGTGGACCTGCCCCAAAGTCGCACCCCTATGGACAACGATAACCACACTCTTAACCAGAATACTTAACAAACCAGTACCCCTAGACCCTTGGGCCCTCCTACTCTCCAAACCCATCGACATCTTCACCCGCAACGAAAACATACTCATTGCCAGAATAGCCCTAGCCACCCGAAGAGCAATAGCAGAAACATGGTCCACACCACGCATCCCTACCCAACTGCAAATACACACTAAAATAACTGATAGCATAAACATGGACAAGCTGACCGCACAAATACATGACACCCCCAAATCATTCCGTAAAGTGTGGGACCCATGGTTGGAAGGAAACAGTACCCTCCCGTGGTGATCCACGACAATCCCACTGACCAACACCATCCCCGCCAAACCACAACATGATGCAACTCTGAAGCTCGCCCCCCTACCGCCCTTAACCTACCCTATTCCACAAAGGGCCCCAGGGGGTAACCAAGAGGGCAGCACCACCCCACCTTTCCCTCCCACAATACCCCCCACCCAAGCCCCCCACACACCTACCTTACCTGCCCTACCTCCCCTTCGATCAGTGAAACCAACCCACCCACAGGGCTCTGCTGATTCTGCCTCTCACAACAAATCCACTTAAGACAACAACCCCTAAACCAGCCAACCCCCCCCACAGACTCGGACTAACAACCCTGGCACAGCAGATTCACAAGTTATACCTCTTCCCTCAGTCATAACAGGCAACAAAACAGACCACTGCCCAACCTGAGACCGCACAAGACACCGCCACACAGCGGTCCACGACAGAAGGTATAACACGCGCTATCGGAGACGAAAGTGCCAGACCCACCCGAAGACAACCCAATGTTAACCCCCACTGTTCTTACCCAACTAACCAATTACTTTTTTCTTTAAGAATGTTTACTTGAACTATGAAAATGAAAAATAAAGAATTATTATAAAAAAAAAAAAAAATCCATACAGGCACGCTACCTAATACATACATCTACACACACACATTGCCTAATGCATATATCTATACACACACACACATACTTACTGCTCAATACATAAATCCCCCCCCCCATGCGCGCCATTATTTATTTAACCCCCCAGCCTCCTTTCCTTTAGGTTCTCCCTATCCCTGGGGCTGCCGGTCGGTCAGGTGGGCGGTCGGGCGGCGCTGGCGAGGGAGCACTTTCCTCTGAACTGTCTGCTCAGCTTCCTCGCGCACCTTATTCCGGCTCCCAGCATCACTCTGCGGCGTGCGAAGGAGCTGAGCAGACAGCTCAGGGGAAAGTGCTCCCTCGCCAGCGCTGCCCGACCGCCCGACTTGTCAGTTCGCCGCAAGGCTAACAAGGCATTTGCCCTGGGCATTTGGGGGCGGCTTTTTTCTCTTTCGCTTGTATACTCCACCTGTTTAATTATTTCAAATGGGGAAAATGGATTTTGTTGTAGACGGTGGAGTTACCTTTCACCACGTGTGGTTCCAGATTCCCCAGAGATCTGTCCCCTCGGATGCCTCTGTATTTCTGCTTTCCAAACCTCTTGAAGGTTTTAGTTTTCACAAGTAGAATCATGCTCGCAGCCTGCAGCGCCCTCGCCCAGTTTTGGTTGAATGATACGATTTCCCGTCTCGAGGCTATCATAAAATCAGGGATAAATTCCTTACAAACTGACTGCCCATGTCTGTAACTCATTTCCTTCATTTCAAAAGACATGGTCCTTGTCAAAGGAATTTGATGGTGGGTTTCCTACATTATCTCCCTACCCGATGGCAGTAACTCTTCTGTTTCATCTCCCATTTCTCTAGTCTCTTCTCCATTTACTATTTCTACCTCTTTTGTTTGTCTTTCTTTCTTTCTTTCTTCCACAAGGTGGAGGTGTATGTTGACTATACACCATGAAACAATGTTTATTGCTGATGTTCCTTGTAGTACTTCATATACTTACATAAGGAACTTCATTATACAGAAGGTTATTAAAAAATACTACAGATTTAGCTCTGATTTATGTGCCTCCTGCACGCAGCATTTTGTAATAATGGACTTGAACAAGTACTGCAATATACCCCATTGGGCCCCTGCTAGTTCTGTCATTTTTTTCCTTTTCCCTTGTTCGGGTTGTCAAACTGGTACGTTGTTATTGAAAAATGATGGTGCTCTACCAATGGTATACTGCCTACGATTCTGTGACTTATGTGCAGTAATAGAGAAAGATTTGATTTTATTTTTAAATGCTGAAATTGTGTTGTTAATGTGTTGTTATCCTGAAAGAAAAAACATTTTTTATCAGATACCTCAAATTTCAAGATATGAAGTCTACAATCTCTGAGCTGTTTTCAATCGATTTTTCTATATAGACATTTGTATTAAATGTGACTGTTAACCATAAGCAGTTTACACACAAAATAAGCTAACTGCTGTTGTGAGAAAAACAATTTAATTTGTCTTCAACTCATTTATTTATTTACAGCTTGTATGTGTTGCCCTTGCTTGTCTATTATTATCAATTAAATGACTTTGTGAATACGTTTTATTTGTTCACAGAATATAAATGTTGGTTCTGGTTAAGTAAGATTATAAATGTATAATTCTAAGAACAAGTAAATGCGTTTTTACATATTTACACCCAAACGCGTTTCACTGCTCTTTGCTGGTTTAACGGAAACTGAAATGATTTTCTCCATAATTTTAGCTGGAACAAATTTATAGGAACATTTTAAAAGGAATAAGCACATTCAAAAATTGTAATAACATCCACACAATTTCTAGATATACCAAAATATACAGACTATGATAGATGTTCATAAAAAAAGAGTGTTTTCATCAATATATTATGAAATCATTATACAAATATACAAAGTGTAAAAATAATGAATATATACATATAATCTTCTTTCATCTTATAAAAAGGCTTGTTGTAGTTCATATAAACATTTAATTCTCTTAAACCCAAAATATAACACAATATGATGTGGATTTTCTTATAAAAACATCAAATGTATTCCCCTTGCCTTACAGATTTATTTATGTTAAACTCAACAGATGATAGTATTGCTGCACGTCGGGTGCTGAGGACTAGAATGTAGCAGACGTTCTTCTAAATCAGTGGTTCCCAACACAGTCCTCAAGTACCCCTTACCAGTCCAGAATTTAGGGATTACCCAATTGTGTCTAAGGTGCTTTTAGAAAAAAAACCACTTTAGACACAACAGGTTAATCCCGAAATCCTGGGCTCGTAGTGGGTACTTGAGGACTGGCTTGGGAACCCCTGTCTTCAATGATTTCCAACCCTTCTTTGCCGTCATACTACATCATCCTCTTCCCTCTTCTGGGTCATGGTCCAATCAGATGCTTCTTATAGAGAAGCATTGTTGAACCATGGTTACGTGCACTTCTTCTCATAGAGAAGTATTTAGTACAATATTGAAATAAGTCTAGTAATGGAGTAAAAAACTAGCAAGATAAGTAGAGATGAACATGTCGTTACCCTCTACAACATATCGACTGGCATAAACTCCTTAGTGATAAAAACACTGAGGAAAAATGGAAACTATTCAAACAAATGTTAGAAAGGTACATTTCACAGGATGTACCATTCGGTGATAAATATAAAATAAACAAATTAAAACCAATGTGGCTTAGTAGAGAAATAAAACAAGAGATTAAAAATAAGTAAAGGGCATTTAAAGCATTTAAATCAGACAAATCAGAGGCATCCTAAATATGATATAAGGAAGCCAATAATACTTGCAAAAGGGCAATTAAAGGGGCTAAACTAAAAAATAAGAAATTGATAGCCAAAGAATGCAAAACCAACCCCCCAAATTTTTTCAAGTACATCAATTCTAAAACACAAAAAATGAAAGTGTAGGTACACTGAAAACAGAGATGGGTCTGTTAGTCAATGAAGACCAGGAAAAGGCAGAAATTTTAAATAACTATTTTTCTTCAGTATATATTAATGAGGATCCTATGGCAAGAGATATGCAAATGATTGCTGCAACAAACTTGCAGATAACTTGTGATTGGATAACTCAAGACAAGGTGCTACAGCTAGTAAAGAAAATTAATGTAAATAAAGCTCCGGGGCCTGACGGTATCCACCCACGAGTACTTAAGGAGCTAAGTGGGGAAATAAGTGAACCTCTGTATTTAATTTTTCAAGATTCTTTTGTTTCAGGTATTGTACTTGAGGATTGGAGGAAGGCAGATGTCGTTCCTATATTTAAAAAGGGTTCAAAATCCTTGCCTGGAAATTATAGACCTGTGAGCTTAACTTCTGTGACTGGGAAATTATTTGAACGGCTATTAAGGGATAATATTCAGGAATTCATTGGGAAGAACTGTCTTATTAGCAATAATCAGCATGGTTTTATGACACATAGGTCATGTCAAGCTAAACTAATTGCATTCTACGAAGAAGTAAGTAGAAGTATAGATCAGGGTGTTGCAGTGGATGTGATCTACCTGGATTTTGCCAAGGCATTTGATACGGTTCCTCACAATAGGTTAGTCTTCAAACTACAAGAAATTGGTCTAGATGAATATTCTTGTTCTTGGGTAGAACATTGGCTTAAGGATAGAGTACAATGAATTGTCATTAATGGTAAATTTTCAAGCTGGACAAAAGTGGTAAGTGGTGTCCCTCAGGGTTCTGTTTTGGGACCGCTTCTATTTAACATATTTATAAATGATCTTGAAATGGGCATTGAACACCATATATCAGTGTTTGCAGAGGACAGAAAACTTTGTAAAGTAATAAAATGTGAGCAGGATATTGCCTTGCTGCAGAGGGATTTGGATAGATTGGGGAACTGGGCACTAAAATGGCAGATGAAATTTAACGTAGAGAAATGCAAAGTTTTGCACTTTGGGGTTAAGAATGCATAAGCAATTTACACCCTAAATTGTAGTGAACTAGGGATAACCACACACGAGAAGGATTTGGGAATTGTTATAGACAACAAATTAGGCAGCAATATGCAATGTCAATCTGCCGTTGCTAAGGCCAGTAAATTTTTGTCATGTATAAATAGAGGCATAAATTCTCGCGATGAAAATATAATTTTGCCTCTTTATAATTCGCTGGTAAGACCACACCTTGAATATGCTGTGCAATTTTGGGCACCTGTCCTAAAGAAAGATATCATGGCACTAGAAAAAGTGCAGAGACAAGATACAAAATTGATAAAAGGAATGGAGCATTTTAGTAATGAAGAAATGTTAAAAAATTTAAATCTCTTTAGTTTGGAAAAACGGCACCTGAGAGGGGATATGATAACATTATACAAATATATTCGGGGCCAGTACAAACCATTATCTGGAAATCTATTCATAAACAGGGTTATACATAGGACACGAGGTCACACATTTAGGTTTGAAGAAAGGAGATTTCATCTAAGTCAAAGAAAAGGTTTTTTTACAGTAAAAGCAATAAGGATATGGAATTCTTTGCCTGAAGATGTGGTTTTGTCAGAGTCTATACAGATTTTTAAACTGCAATTGGATAAATACTTGCAAAAACATAACATACAGGGATATAATTTCTAATTAGTGGGGTAATAGCTGCTTGATCCAATGAGATATCTGACTGCTATTTTGGGGTCAAGAAGGAATTTTTTCCTAGTTTGTTGCAAAATTGGAAGTGCTTCAGACTCAAGATAAGAACAATAGCTCTTGTAAGATTACAATCAGTAGCATTTAAAAGATTGCATATAACAACTTACAATGTTAATTTGTCCCTGCACACAATTTAATTATATCAATGCAATAATGCCGCATGGTAGACAAATTATGTATTTAGAGTCTTGTTCATATCATTGAACCAGAGATTTTTAGGCAAGGTGTGTGGGTGAATAAGGAGCATAGGGGTAGAAAGGATACACAAAGTAAGAAGTAGACGGGAGAAGAAAGATGTGAGATAAAGACAGTAATAAACTCCATTCGGGGTGTATTTAGGGTTTAGGAATCCACTCTAGGAGTATGTTCCAAGGTAAATGCTGTCCAAGTAGAATGATACTCATATGTTCATAGCTGGAGCCGTACATATATGAATAGCAATGCGTATACTCATGGTGGTTGCGGTGTTTTTTGGTTTTTTTGTATGTATTGGGGCTGATGTGTACTATAGTCATTGCTAGCGCCCAGGAGTAGTGGGAGTTTGAGTGCAGGACTTATGTTTGTATATTTGCAAAGAGGGTGACCGTGAGCAAGAGAAATAAAAAAAAGAGGGGGAGGCTTCTCATTGCTGACACCCTCACCATGCTAAATATGTCCGTCGCCAATGCACTCTGCGTGCTGACAACAGTCAAATTCTTTGCACATGATGCACATTAAGTGATGTGTCATACTAAGTCAAATGTGCTGGGGGTGCAACTAGACACAAAGTCACTGATTGGTCTGTATTTACAGCTGAAATGCTGCACATACAGATTGCTTGCTCCATGACCACTTCTAAAAATAATGGTCAGGGAGGTTGGAGTAACCCTTTAAATTGGAAATTCAGTGGGCGTGGCTTGGACGGCAAGGAGAGCAGTCGCATGGCATTTGAGCTCTGGCGATACAGAGCTGATAAACAAGCAAACACCCGTTTCTCTCCAGCTAAACACCCAACTTACCAGCCTGACACCTCACAGAAGGTATGGGGAAGAGGCACAAGTAGCTCAAAGCCCGGTCAGGCGAGGGAACCCGCGAAATCGGCGATATTCTGCAGAGGGGAACTAGGCCCAATATGGCGGTGCGTCGGGAGACTGACACCCTTTTACTCATCAGGGGAGGAACTCCTAGATGCCCCAGACACCATTTCAGAAACAGGGGGCCTTAATACACCCCAGTCTACAGAAGACCTCAACATCCCCGGGGGACATACTGGAGCTGATGAAAAACATGAGGGCATTCAACTCAATGTGGATAGGGAAGAAATAATGGCAGTGAAAACCAGAATTCAAGTATTGGAGGAAGATAACTCCACATTGGCCCAGAAGCAGCTAAATACCACAGACAACCTGCCCACTACAGGCCTCGAAGTAAAATATGGCTAATCACCTAGATGCCCTTGATGATTACCGCAGACGCAAAAATCTAACATTCAGGGGCATCGCTGAAACAGTTGACAAAAAACAGGTGATGGAGACACTGCAGACACAGTCACCCCTACAATTCGAGACCTTAAGCCTCACAGCTCTACAAGACCTCTGCCATTTGACACTGGAATGGCACCAAATCTACATGCCCATCACAAAGCTACATTGGGCTGCCAACATCCCATATCGCTGGGGAATAGCTCACTCCATCTCGGCCACTAAAGAGGGCAACACTTATAGGCTCACCACCATGGATAACTCAGCCATCTTCCTGCAGTCCTTGGGCATGTCCAGCCCCAACAGGGGAACCACCAAAACATGGGACATTTCAGCAATTACCCTTTTTGTTCCACTCTCTGTCACCGACACAGGATGAACTGTCTTGAATACTGGACATAACTTGCCAGCAATAAGGTTCCTTAAGTAAAGTCTTATTACCCTCACTAGGTGCCCACCATGATTCCTCACGTTGCAACTCTCCTTAAAGAAATGTCAGCACCCAGCTAAGCTACACATGTCCAGCTGAGATGGATACCACCTGCACCCACATCCCCCCCTTAGCTCAGGGAAACAGAGCTCTAACACCTAAAGTACCCCGACACACAGCAATATGACCACATAGTATTACCTGAAAGCAAAACACGTTGTTACGCTTTACATATCATTCCCCAATATTTCCCCCTTACGCACCAGCTCATACCAGCATTCATAGCAACATTTAATATAGGGCATTGTTTATATACCTGACCAAAGTATCCAATGATCTACTTGCTGCAAAATCTCGTGGTCACTACTCTATCCTAATTCTCCTTGACCTGTCTGCGGCTTTTGACACTGCTGATCATCAACAGCTTCTTCTCATCCTCCGCAATATCGGTCTACAAGATATTGATCTCTCCTGGTGCTCCTCCTACCTCTCCCAACGCTCTTTCAGTGTTTCTTTCTCTGGCTCTGCTTCTTCTCCCCAACTCCTCTCTGTTGGTGTCCCCCAAGGTTCAGTCCTTGGCCCCCTACTGTTCTCCATCTATACTGCCTCCATTGGTAAACTCATTAGCTCCTTTGGTTTCCAATATCATTTCTATGCAGATGACACGCAAATCCACCTGTCCTCTCCTGATCTCTCCTAGTCCCTCTTGACTAGTGTCTCTGACTGCCTCTCTGCTGTTTCTAACTGGATGGCTGCCCACTTTCTCAAACTAAACTTGACCAAAACTGAAATTATGGTCTTTCCTCCCTCAAGTATTGTTACTCCTGTGTCTGTCTCCCTCAGACAACGGTGCTACCATCAGCTCCACCATGCAGGCTCGCTGCCTATGTTTTCTCTTTGACTCCGACCTCTCCTTCAAGCCTCATGTTCAATCTATCACCAAATCTGTCATTTCCATCTCAAAAATATTGCGCGCATCCGCCCCTACTTAACGCCAGATGCGACTAAGGTGTTGGTCCATTCCACTGTCCTTTCTCACCTTGACTACTGTAATCCGCTTCTCAGTGGTCTTACGTGCTCCCAACTAGTGCTGATACAGTCCATAATGAATGCGGCGGCAAGGCTCATCTTCCTGTCCGCCCACACCTCCCATTCCTCACCCTTTTGTCAGTCCCTGCATTGGCTTCCTATAAAATATAGAGCTCAATTTAAAATTCAGGTTCTTGCTTTGAAATCTCTACATAATGCTGCTCCCACCTATCTATCCTGCCTTATACACAAGTATGTCCCATCTAGGCCCTTACGATCTGCTGAAGACTTACGTCTATCTTCTGTCCGTACTCCCACCTCTGATGCTCGCCTTCAAGATTTCTCGAGGGCTGCACCGTTCCTGTGGAACTCACTTCCCTCCTCCGTTAAATGCTCACCCAGTCTCCACTCCTTCAAAAAATCGTTAAAAACCCACTTCTTCATAAAAGCGAATCAATTAAAATGTTAATAGCTACTGACTGATTCCTCTTCTGCAACTGTCACTAGTCTAATACTATCCTTACCTTTTTGTGTCATTTTACCCCACTCCCTCTAGCATGTAAGCTCATTGAGCAGGGCCCTCAACCCCTCTGTTCCTGCGTGTCCAACTTGTCTGGTTACAACTACATGTATGTTCGTCCACCCATTGTAAAGCGCTGCGGAATTTGACGGCGCTCTATAAATATCATAATAATAATAATAATAATAATAATTAGAGATGTCGCGAACCGTCCGCGAACTTCTCGCGAACGGTTCGCCGCGGTTCGCGGCGAACTCCGGTCAGCTGACACATCCCGGCCAATCTCCAGCAGACCCTCCCTCCCAGACCCTCCTACTTCCTGGACAGCATCCATGTTGATGCTAATCTCTAATAATAATATACCTGGAACAGCGAATGCAGTACCAGTTTCACACTTAAGAACATGATTGTCTCTACTACATTCATTAGCCCACCAAAACATAGAATACCACAATGGTTACTGACATGACATGTAGGCTTCCGTTTTACTTTTGTTTATTAACTTTGTTTTTTTTGTTTTTAAACTAAGTGCAATGCTCTTGATAGCACACTAATGTACTTATATGTTTAAAACACTGTTTGCACCAGCTATTGTGATGGTGCAAATCTGCTTGTTTACCATATGCACAAATAAAATAAAGAATAATTGAAATTCAAATAACCCTATTAGTTTCACTGTCAATAAAGTGCAGCAAATGTATTTAATTGTAAAATTTGTTTTGCTAATTGAAAAACTTTTTCACACATCACAAATACATATCTGTTAAACATAGGAATAATCAAAAATCCTCATATAAATCGTCACTAATACAACTATGTCCCTTGCAGGCCCCTATGTTCTGTCGAAGACTTGCGCCTATTGTCTGTTCATAGTCGCAACTTCGACTCTCAACTTCACGATGTTCCTTTGGAATTCCCCACCCTGCTCCATTAGACTTTTAGTCTTAGAGTTTACATTCCTTTAAGAAAAATCCCTGAAAACTCACTTTTTCAAGAAGGTATATCAAATAAACTGTTAACAGCAGCACCCAACACCTCACTTACCCACCTTGTCTCCTGCAGCAGTATCATCTTGAAAACTAAGCCCTTGTTGTAAACTCGTCTAGTAACCTACGTTTCCATCACATGAAATACATCTTACGTTACCTCTTGAGCCACTTTACCGCAGTCCCCATACAGGGCCGATTTTTAGGTACATAGGCGAAGATGCATTTTTCCACCCCCTTTCCCCCCAAAAAAATCTTCACCTATGTGCCTCTTAACCAGCCCCTCTCCCCTCCCCGACCATTAGTGGTCCCTTCCCTGTCCCTTAGTGTTCTTCTCCCCTCCCCACTCTTTTCCCTGTCTCTTGGTGTTTCTCTCCCATTCCCTCCCTGTCCCTTGGTGCACCCCACACCCCTTTAGTGGTCACACTCCGCTTCCTGGTGTGCCTCCTACCTCTATTGTTGCATTGCCGAGCAGAGCAGATCCCCTAAAGGAGCTTCAGTTTTCTGTACCCGGCCGGACTGACAGGCAGTGCTCTCTCTGTGAGCACCTCCTGCCAGTGTGGCCAGGTACAGGAAACAGAAGCTCCTGTACCGCGCTCTGCTCCGCTACACTCTGTACACACTGACAGTCACACACTCAATGACAAACACACAGACGTCACTGACAGACACAGACTCATTGATCTGACACACACTCATTCGTTGACACTGACAGACCCACACTGATTGACACTCATTGGCAGACACACTGATAGTCACACACAGACTCAATGACAAACATACTCTCACTGATTTGACAGACACACACTCATACACTGACAAACACACTCATCATACACTGACAGACACACTCATACAATCACTCACAGACACACACACACAGACACACTCACTCACACACACGCAGTCACTCACACACACACACACAGTCACTCACAGACACACACACTTTGTCACTCACACACACACATTCACTCACTCACAGACACACACACTCAGGCGCGGCGAGGGCGCGGCAAGCTCTAATCTCCACGCTCTGCTTCCTCGCGGGCTGCCTACTGATGCCGTGGGAGCCGGAATATGACGTCATATTCCGGCTCCCGCGGCATCAGCAGACAGCGTGCGAGGGAGCAGAGCAGAGAGGTCAGAGCTCCCTCGCCGCGCCTGATCACAGCACTGCCGCGCTGGGTGTCGAGATGGTGGCCTGGCAGGAGGGAGAGCTTCCCTTCTGCCGGTCACTGAAATATTGTGCCCCCAGAGCCGTGCGCCCTAAGGCGGCCGCCTGTGCCGCTTTATGGACGCGCCGGCCCTGTCCCCATAGAATGTAAGCTCTTTTGAGCAGAGCACTCAGCATCTTCTGTTCCTGTGCGTCCAACTTGTCTTGTTGCAACTACTTTTTCTTAGTCCACCTATCTTACAGCACTGTCGAATTTGTTGGCGCTTTATTGATTATACTAATAAAATCCTGGTAAGTCATGGTTCCTCTTCAACATTTTCTGATATGTCTTTTTTTTTTCTAATGTGTAGATCAGCTGTATAAAGCAGTAGAGATCACCATAAGAAAACATTAGCAAATTTGGATAGATCAATAGTTAATTGACCACTAATATGCCAAGAGACAGATCAATAGGCAGAAGGATAAAATGTCAGCGCTATCATTTTAATATACTTTAAAATATTTGAAAATGACATTATTTTTCCCTTTCGATTTTCTTCGAACATATATTTTATTCTTAAAATAATACAGTCCTTGGGTGAATGTGGCTCTTATCTTGCTAATCTCCTCTAAATGGCATTGCTATATGTCAGAGAAATCGTAAGAGAGAGATTAAATAAGACATTTTGCTCTGCTGTAGAAATGTTCTTTTGGTGGAGGCGAGAAGGTAATATAAGCAAAATAAATTTCTAAGCGAACAGTCTGCTGCAGGCTACAACGTCTATTAAATAAACCATACGGCAACATTTAAAACATAAGGCAACGCAAGCTCTAAAAAGCCATTATGCTTAAATGTGCAGACTTTAGATAGGCCCATACAAAAGAATTATCTTTGCTGGGATTAACACAAATTGTTAATATATTAAACAGACCATGCTTTAACAAAATATGCAACTATCCCCTCCTCTCCAAGTAAAAAGATAATCGCCTATAAAAGTCCTTGTCTTGCATCTTTTGCTAGAGATCTGTTCTGACTATTCTACTGGGGACAGCAAATGGCAGGGACAAAAATTATCTTTCAGCCAATGCATAGTGTTCAACGTAATTGTAAGGAGTGTTAGTAGTATATTACAAAGGAGGATTAGAGACGTGGGGCAGCTGACCCCCGTAACAAATCAGTTTTTCTCAATTGTCCTTTCTAAGTTAGAACTAGTTGGGGTATATTAAGTACATATAACGCAGTTTCGTTATACAGTAC